TTTGTTGATTTGTGACGATGATGACGAGATTTTTTTTTTTTTTGTAATCTTTTAACAAACAACTAGTGAGAAATCTATCATTGAATGTGTTTATCACTGCTAAATTTATTACTGAATATGTTTTTGAATCTTGTGTTAATTTGTGACGACGATGATGATATTTTCTTTTTGTAATTTTTTAACAAACAGTCAGTGATAAATTTATCATTTTTATCACTAGAGAGAGATGAATATGCAGTATGATTAATTTATCAGTGATAAATTTATCATTGATTTGTTGAATATGCTGTATATTGTTGTTGATTTTTTATATTTATACAGTAATGAATTTATCATTGATTTGTCATCGTAGATGTGAATATATTGGATGAGTCAATCTATCAGTGATAAATTTATCACTGGAAAGAGGACAAAGAGCGGATAGTAAAGGCATGGTTATGTTGATCGACGACACGAAAGCTAACAATTTTCTATTAAGGCCTTTCATTTTCCTCTGCATCTTCTCTTTCTCTCTCTCTCTCTCTCTCTTTGTCTAGCGGACCTTGCTCGCCTTCTTTGGAGTTCCTTGGCCGATTTGATCTTGTCCGCCAAGAAGGAAGTCGCGGAGCGGACCTTGCTCCCCTTCTTTGTAGTTCCTTGGCCGAGCTGATCTTGTCCGCCAAGAAGGAAGTCGCGGAGCGGACCTTGCTCCCCTTCTTTGTAGTTCCTTGGCCGAGCTGATCTTGTCCGCCAAGAAGGAAGTCGCGGAGCGGACCTTGCTCCCCTTCTTTGTAGTTCCTTGGCCGAGCTGATCTTGTCCGCCAAGAAGGAAGTCGCGGAGCGGACCTTGCTCCCCTTCTTTGTAGTTCCTTGGCCGAGCTGATCTTGTCCGCCAAGAAGGAAGTCGCGGAGCGGACCTTGCTCCCCTTCTTTGTAGTTCCTTGGCCGAGCTGATCTTGTCCGCCAAGAAGGAAGTCGCGGAGCGGACCTTGCTCCCCTTCTTTGTAGTTCCTTGGCCGAGCTGATCTTGTCCGCCAAGAAGGAAGTCGCGGAGCGGACCTTGCTCCCCTTCTTTGTAGTTCCTTGGCCGAGCTGATCTTGTCCGCCAAGAAGGAAGTCGCGGAGCGGACCTTGCTCCCCTTCTTTGTAGTTCCTTGGCCGAGCTGATCTTGTCCGCCAAGAAGGAAGTCGCGGAGCGGACCTTGCTCCCCTTCTTTGTAGTTCCTTGGCCGAGCTGATCTTGTCCGCCAAGAAGGAAGTCGCGGAGCGGACCTTGCTCCCCTTCTTTGTAGTTCCTTGGCCGAGCTGATCTTGTCCGCCAAGAAGGAAGTCGCGGAGCGGACCTTGCTCCCCTTCTTTGTAGTTCCTTGGCCGAGCTGATCTTGTCCGCCAAGAAGGAAGTCGCGGAGCGGACCTTGCTCCCCTTCTTTGGAGTTCCTTGGCCGAGCTGATCTTGTCCGCCAAGAAGGAAGTCGCGGAGCGGACCTTGCTCCCCTTCTTTGTAGTTCCTTGGCCGAGCTGATCTTGTCCGCCAAGAAGGAAGTCGCGGAGCGGACCTTGCTCCCCTTCTTTGGAGTTTTTTGGCCGAGCTGATCTTGTCCCCCAAGAAGGAAGTCTGGGAGCGGACCTTGCTCGCCGACCTTGGAAGTTCCTTGCCGAGCAGTTGTTGCTCGCCAAGAAGCAAGTCGCGGAGCGGACGTTGTTCGCCGACTTTGGAAGTTCCTTGACCAGCTGATGTTGCTCGCCAAGAAGCAAGTCGCGGAGTGGACCTTGCTCGCTGACCTTGGAAGTTCCTTGCCGAGCTGTTGTTTTGGAGTTCCTTGGCCGAGCTGATCTTGTCCGCCAAGAAGGAAGTCGCGGAGCGGACCTTGCTCGCTTTCCTCGGAGTTCCTTGACCGAGTTGATGTTGTTCGCCAAGAAGGAAGTCGCGGAGCGGACCTTGCTTGCCTTCCTCGGAGTTCCTTGACCGAGCTGATGTTGCTCGCCAAGAAGCACGTTGCGGAGCGGACCTTGCTCGCCGACCTTGGAAGTTCCTTGACCGAGCTGATGTTGCTCGCCAAGAAGCACGTCGCGGAGCGGACCTTGCTCTCCAACCTTGGAAGTTCCTTGCCGAGCTGATGTTGCTCGCCAAGAAGCAAGTCGTGGAGCGGACCTTGCTCGCCGACCTTGGAAGTTCTTTGCTGAGCTGTTGTTGCTCGCCAAGAAGCAAGTCGCGGAGCGGACCTTGCTCGCCGACCTTGGAAGTTCCTTGACCGAGCTGATGTTGCTCGCCAAGAAGCACGTCGCGGAGCGGACCTTGCTCGCCGACCTTGGAAGTTCTTTGCTGAGCTGTTGTTGCTCGCCAAGAAGCACGTCGCGGAGCGGACCTTGCTTGCCGACCTTGGAAGTTCTTTGCCGAGCTGTTGTTGCTCGCCAAGAAGCAAGTCGCGGAGCGGACCTTGCTCGCTGACCTTGGAAGTTCTTTGCCGAGCTGTTGTTGCTCGCCAAGAAGCAAGTCGCGGTGCGGACCTTGCTCGCCGACCTTGGAAGTTCCTTGACCGAGCTGATGTTGCTCGCCAAGAAGGAAGTTGTAGAGCGGACCTTGCTCGCTTTCTTAGTGCGGTCACCATCTTGCATATTGAGGACCGAGGAAGTATTACCCCGGTCAGGATAGGTAATCCCAGTCACGCTTCAGCGGACGGAATTAAGGGGCAATTGAGAGGGAGATTAATGATATGGACTTTGTGCCAGACAGATTTTGTTTGCTCGGCAGGTAGGTCGACCGCAGACAAGCGTAAGTAGTCCCGAGCTCGGCTTTGCCGAGATGCCGCCGAGTCCGGTCCTCATCTAAGCTTAGCTGTTGGAGTACTTGGGCATGAAGCGCAGCATGGCAGACGATGGCCGAGATGGAATTGCCCGGCTGCCGAGCTCCCAGGAGAATGGGCAGGCAGTTGGATTAGGTGATGTTCAGCAAGGTTTATGCTGACAGATGGGATAACGGAGCCACGTGTCAGGAGATGACTGGGAGTGGATATGGGGCGCAAAGGGTATATAAGCATGTCTGCGCCTCCCATACGCAGACAGATGAACATTTGGTGAGACATACACTAAACACTCAACACTCTCCCTTTTCTCTATCTATCTCCTGGTGTGTGTTCTAACTTGACCGTCGGAGGGGTTTTCCGGCCACACACCGCCGGGTAGCTCACCCACATTGTGCTTTCAGGTGATCGGACAGAAACGGAGCTTGGAAGAAAGGAATACGGGCTCGCCTGAATATTTGCTCCCCGTACAATTCCCAAATATAATCTCACAATACATATTTACCATTTAATTATCATGTCATACTCAAGCTAAATTTAGTTGAGATCTCTTATATAATCAAATTTACAGAAAAAAGTCTTACACTATGTTTGGATTGAGTGAATTAGAGAGAAAAGAAACGAAATAGAGATATATATTTCTCTTACTTGTTTAGATAACTTATTTCTCTTATAACCTTCATTTTTAATCTTTTCAAAAGTAGAGAGATTGGGAGAGAAAAGAAACCAACAGATTTTTATATTTTCATAATACCAATTTTGTCCTTGTAAAAATAAAAAAAATAACATGATTGACACCCATGTCCTCAAAGGCTTTTCATATCTAACAAAAGATTATTTTGATAATATAACATAAAATTATTTCTTTTATTTTTTTCATAAAATCTAACCAAATAAAAATGAAAAAAATTCTTGTAATTTTTTTTTTTCTTTTTCCTTATAATGTTTCTTTTCTTTTTGTCTCCTAGGTTCCAAACATAGTTTTAGGACAAGTTTGAGATATGTAAAAAAAGTCAAAAAGTAAAAAAATTACTCAAAAAATAAAAAAGTTAACACTACTTATCAAAAGTCAACAATTACGGCTGCATAACTCTTAATTCTAATTTTCCTTTACAAATCAATTTTTATAATTTTTTATTACACATTTTTTCATAAAAAGTCAAAAAATTAATTCAAACATCTATATTTTTTTTCTTAACCTTTTAATCTAAAAAGAAAAAAACTACACTTATTTACCACACCCGCAAACAACTCCATGTAAATGCCCCTTCGTCTGTTTCAGATGCTGTTTTGCCCAACAGCATACTTGCTTGCCACGCAATTTGATTCCCCGCGCTCTCTACCTCCTCCATTAACTGCCATGCCGCTCTCCATTCGCCCCTCCACTCCGCCACCGTCGCCACCACCATCGCCACCTTCACCGACAAATATATACAATCCAAAATTTCAATTTCTGCCGCGACGCCGAACCTCGCGGCGGCGAGAAACTTTTTAAAACTACTCAAAATCCCAACAACACTTTCTTCTACCTCTCACTCCCACCTTTTTGCTTTCAATGGCGGATTCAGCACTACCAGAGCCATTGATATACTTACACGGCGACTTAGACCTCACAATCATAGAAGCTTCTAACTTGCCTAACATGGATTTAATGTCGGAGCACCTCCGCCGCTGCTTCGCCGCCGGCCGTGCCTGCATTGCGCACGGCGGCAATGGTGGTGATGATAATAGAATCGACCACCGCCGCAAGATCATCACCACCGACCCTTACGTCGCCGTCTATGTGCCTCACGCCACAGTTGCCACAACTCAGGTGATCCACAATGAACAAAACCCTAGATGGAATCAGCACTTCAACATACCTCTGGCTCATCGGGCGCCGAATTTGGAGTTCCAGGTGAGGGACATGGATTTGTTCGGACCACAATTAATCGGGAAAGTCATTGTACCAGCTGAGAAATTAGCTTCCGGAGAGTTAATCACCGATCGTTTTCCGGTGATCGGGGCTTTCCGAAAGCCGTCGAAGCCTGAGGCGCTGCTCCACCTAAAGATGAAATTCACGCCCTGTGATGACAATCCACTCTACCAACACGGAATTGCAGGCGATCCACAACACAAGGGGGTGAGGCATACATATTTTCCACTCAGAAGAGGTTGCTCAGTGCAATTGTATCAAGATGCTCACGTTAGCAATGATATTAAGCTTCCTGACATTGAATTAGACGAAGGAGGGTTTTTCAAACAGGGAAAATGTTGGGAAGATCTATGCCACGCGATATTGGAGGCTCGGCATTTGATATACATGGTTGGTTGGTCAATTAGTCTCAAGGTGAAGCTAATAAGGGAGCCAACGCGGCCATTGCCACGAGGCGGGAATTTGAGTTTGGGTGATTTGCTCAAGTATAAGTCCGAAGAAGGGGTTCGCGTATTGTTATTGGTTTGGAATGATAAGACTTCACAGAATAAATTCTTCGTCAAAACGGTAAGAATTCTAAAAGGCTGATGGTTTTGAAAATCTTCCTTTCATGTATGCTTTACTCTGTTTTCCCCCAACTAAATTTGAATACTATCGTTGGACTATTCCTACTTGTGTTAATTTGCTTGCTTACCATGTCAACTTTTGTGTTAATTTTTGTTTAATGGTTTTATTTATGACATTTTTTTTCTTCTCAATAGCTTCTATTTGTTCCATAGTTCCTATCTAAGATTCTTGTTTTCACATTTGTTAGAAATGTGATTTGAAGAAATGTTTAATTTACATTCTTATCAAAACTATCATAATTTACATGTATAATGGGGTGTGACTACATTTATTGAAGGAATTAATGAATGTGGAGTATAGGTTTAGTAACAACAAAAGTAAAACTAGTGGAAAACTAAATATTAAAAATCAGAAAATAACAAATAGTGAGCCTTTTCGTTACATTGGTTGATTATTAATTAGGATGGACAGCTTAGAGATGATGCAATCAATATAAAATCAAAGTATGTTGGCTCAAGTGGAGGAGTATTTCTAACATAATAGTGGATTGACAGATACTAACAAAATTGAAAGGAAAATTTTACGGGACAACTGTAAGGCAAGTAGTTCTTTACAGGTGAATGTGTTCTCTTTTCTTGGCTTGAACATGTGAACAAGTTATCGAGGTATGCGAACATGTTCTCTTGGCTTGATACCCATTTTCACATTAGTATGTTTGCATTCAAAAGTAATTGAACGAGTCAAGATTATATAAATTTGATTCACAATGGCAAGAGGTTACGGTTATCAAGGGAAAGTGACAACAATTTCTGTATAATCTCCATTTTGTTTCATTAAACATCTTATTTTTATTTGTGCTCTTGAATTCATAAAACTGGAACATGGCATCGTTAGATATATAAAGTTGATATAAGATCTGCACTATTATGTAGGGATAGCACCATGTTGGTCTTTTCAAGATTGTCATAATTTTCTCCCTAAAAATCAATCTTCAACGTGAAAGGTTTCAATAATCTTCCTATTTTTACTTTAGTTTTTTGTCCTCAACAATAAAATTTCTGAGAATAGCTAATATGGCACCAATTAATTTAATCTTGAAATTCCATGACTATGAAACACTGGTAATTTTTAAGTAGGTCTATGTGCATTGGTAATTTTTGTGTCCCATTCTATGTTTGGTTTCTGTGTTCCCAGCATTACTGGTAATTTTTAAATATGTTCAATCAAAATAAAGTGAGGGACATAGTTGTTTCCTTATTATTTGCTGGGTTATAGGTTCAAGTTATTGAGCACATTTATCTATAAAGTCATAATTGAAGTGGCATATAATGCAGCCAGGAGTAATGAAAACGCATGATGAAGATACTAAGAAGTTTTTCAAGCGTTCATCTGTCATCTGTGTGTTGTCACCGCGTTATGCCAGCAGTAAGTTGAGCTACATCAGACAAAAGGCAGGTTTTATTCCAGTACCCATTAAATTGCTTGCGTTAAAGATATATTAGTCATCTTTTATTCGTTTATAAATTTAGTATCCTTCCCATACTAAATTGATTCACTATTGTGTTCTAAGTTGTACTTTTGGTTTTTTAAGTCAGATAATGATCAAATTGTAAAGTTACCATATGTCCTTCCTCATTGTCAAAGGAAGTTTCATTCAATTCCTTCAGCAGGAAATTTGTCTTTTGTGCAATATCTTTCTTGTAGATTAAGCACGTGTTTGTGTAAAATCACTGAGCAGTCTTCAGAATGATCAACAGGAAATAATTTTTTGTGCATGTGTTTTTTGATTCACTAATATTTGTTGTCACATTCTTTGTGAATTTCCCAAGTTTTTATTTGACATATGTGCTTTCTTTTAAGCTAAAAAGCCAACTGAAGGTTTTTTTTTTTTTAATATGTTCAACCCAGGTTGTTGGAACTTTCTTCACACACCATCAGAAATGTGTGCTTGTGGACACACAGGCGGGTAATAATCGAAAGATTACAGCATTTTTGGGTGGTCTTGATCTTTGTGATGGTCGATATGATACGCCTGAGCATCGATTGTTTCGTGATCTTAGTACTGTATTTCGCAATGATTTTCATAATTCTACATTTCCTGTGAGTGATTTGTTTGTTTGATTTTTTATTTTTTAGCAATAGTAATTTATTTTGTTGAATACTCAAGGCCATGCATATACTGTTGGGGATAAACCCCACCTTAAAAGCTCTGATACCCCGTATTAAAATATGAACCATGTGCCAATGGAAGAATACCCAATAAATATTCAGACACATATAATAAAACACACACACACACCCACACAATATTTAACGTGGTTTGGCCCAAATGCCTACATCCATGGAAGAGAGATAATCCATTATATAAATCTGAGTACAATGGTGAGATGAAAATACCCAAAACCTAACTTCAATACCTGAGACCCCTGCTCAAGAGTAATTGAGTGTTTTGAGCCCCAATTCCCATAGACTTCCCACTCACTATGGTATTTTACATCTCACATTCCTCTCTTCTCACATCTCTCTGTCTCTATGGAGAACTCCTCCTCCTTCACTCTCAACCATCTCATACACACATATATTTATACATAAAAAGATTGAGAGAGACTAAAAAAACACCCTTTGAACTTCCCCAAATCTGCAGCTCCATGTACCAAGAACAGTGCCCTTCTATTTCTTCAATGTTGGCTGCCATTGGTTTTCATCATGCATGCATCCAAGAAATCACCACTAGTTCCAATGATGGCTGTGTAATGCCATGCCATCAATCCGTACAACATTGCATTAACCATGCGTTTTCCTCCCAAAGAGTGCATTAACACTTCCAACAACACCCATTCAATATTGATGCACCCAAAACCATTATTTTAACCAAACAGTGCCCAATGATAAAAACCATTATAATAAAATATTTATTTTTCCATTTCATATTGACAGAAAATCCCAACACATACATGGGTGCACATGCATATGTGTATGTATTAGGTGCTCCGAAGATTTTACTTACTATGTGTTCTTCGCAACTGAAGCAACATGGGCTTGGCCTAGTGTGTATTTCTCTATGGTGATTTACTTGTCTTGATAACTTTAGAGCTTTAATTGACATCATAACCTACTGAAAAATATTCCCCTAACCTCACACCCACACGAGAAAAAGACAAAAGGAAAAACCTATGTTACCTGTAATGTGGATCGTTTTAATACTTGAAACCGGAATGTGGTGCACCACATGCTCTAAAATATGGTATGATGGGGCTAGAGTTGTATACATTACTTGAAAACTTAAGGTACTTCTAGAGTAATTTTCTTTTCTATTAGGTATTCAATAATTTATTTATTTATTTATTTTTAATTTTTGATATTTTTGTCCTGTCAAAACTTAACTCACCTTAAATTTTAGTTCATTATATTTTATTTTTTTCCCTCCTACGGTAACATTTAAGAAAATATATTGGAAAAAACTTTTGGGATCGCTTCAAATCTCTAAATTTACCGTTGTAGAACGAAAGTGTACCATGGTTTGGAACGTGTGTACAAATACGTAATTTGTTAGGGTATTAGAATTTTCTAATAACACAAGGAAAAACCCAAAGCAGACCAAAAGGTGACGGAAGAAAAAATAAGAAGAAAAAGAAAAAGGAGGTGGAGAAAAGAGAGAGAGAAAAGGCATCTCTATTTTTTCAGACTCAAAGTTCCAACAATGTTCGTTTATTTTTTGGTTACCATTTCATCACGGAAGTTTCACATATGAATCTGTTTATGTTTCTAGTTTTGTGAATCCTCTTCTTAAATGGAATAATCTACTTACACTGTGTAGGAGAGGGTTCAAGAAAGGAGTTGGAAAATTCGAAGATCTTCGAAGATCCTTGAAGAACAACTTCGAATTCTCTAGAATATGATGAGAGGCTTAGATTCTTCAATGGTCTCAACTCAAGAATACAAAAGAAAGGAGATGATGGGGATAAGAGATTGGGTGAAGAAGAAGGCAAAATGGCTAGAGAATAGAATAATGGCAAGGCTCTCCCATGGATCTCCCACTTTCACTCTCAAGGTTGATAATGGAGAAGGGAAATTAGTTCTTTCCCAAGAATTCAAAAATCTCCAAAATCCCTCCCTTGTAAAGCTATGGGTGGGTGCTATTTATAGGCACCTCATGATGTAGGATGGAGCCCATGTGCAAGGCACATGGGGGATATTCTCTCTAACCACCTTGTCCGAGGAGGTGACCTCTCCGAGGAGGTGACTTCTCCGAGGATGAGAAAACCCCGAAGAGGAGATCACTCCCTCGGCGAACCCTTCTTCTTAGCCACACCTAACCAATGATCCCCAATCATCCCAAAGGGTCAGGGGTAGTCCCAGAGGACGTCCTGCCGCAAAATATTGCCGAGTCTCATGGACCCCCCGGGGTCGTGCCACCTCAACCCGGGTGTAGGCTAGTTTAACCGAAGAGTGAATTTATCTCCACTCACCGTCGTCGGGATCGGGTCCTTTGTTCGAACTCCATTACGTCCATGGTTCTGGTGCGTAGATCCCGGAAAGCTCCGAGCCCGCAAGTGTTCTGGGACTCATTAACGGAGCGACTTCTAGATTGCGTCTGAATCCGTTCGAAGCCAAGTACTTCGGATCTCTAGATTCGTGGGTCCGAATCCTTTCGAGTCCGAGTGCCTCGGATCTCTAGGCTTGCCTAATACCCTTTCGAGTTCCGGGCCTGAGTAAGTCTCTAGGTTCGTGGATCCGAACCCTTTCGAGGCTTAGAGCGATTCAATCCGTTTGATGGCGATAAATCTGGGCCCACCGATTCTTGGACTTGCGATAAATTCGGGCCCACTAATCTTGGGCTATTGGGCCTAAATAATTTAGTGGGCTCAAATTAGCCCCTCTTACACACTGTTAAATGGCCTATGTAAGATTACAAAATATAAAATTCAATAGTTCACAAATATCCTTTTTGGTGTGTTGAGAATGAAATCAATATTGAGTGGTCAGCCTATAATGAATTTGCAAGTTCAGAGTACTTTTTAGGTGAAAGAAGAGCTTTATGTTCATCTACAATAGTGATTGGTCAATGTTGCCTATAATGAATAAGCAAGTTATGTCTGTCAACTTTTTTTTAGTAAAATATAAATTTATTTCATCTATTTAAGTTCTTAAGATGTTTATATTACATGATTTGAACTAAGGTATTGCTTCTGTAGGTCATCTCAGGAATGTGTACTAATATCTGTTAGTTTTTACTGATTACACATATATTTACAGTTTTAAATTGATTAGATGTTTGTAAGAATATGTTATATCCTTTCGGACATATCAGAGATTGTTATTGACCTGTCTTTGAAGGTCATGTGAATCTCCTGCAGTGTACAGTCAAATTTTTGGGACTCTATTGATCTAGTAGGCTGAGGTCCTGCCTAAGAATTCTGATAGTCAACTTATAGGAGTGGTTCTGAAGATTCTGTACATATTTCTTCCTTTCATCATTGTTTAAGGTTCTTGTTTTCAGAAAGGAAATAAGGCTCCAAGGCAGCCTTGGCATGACATGCACTGCAGAATTGATGGACCTGCTGCATTTGATGTTCTTATAAACTTTGAGCAGCGTTGGATAAAAGCTTCAAAGTGGACTGAATTGGGACTATGGTGCAGAAGGATACCTCATTGGCATGATGATGCTATGATAAAGATAAAACGTATTTCATGGATACTTAGTCCTGATAAGTATTCTTTTCCAAAGGATAAAAAATACACAACTATTCCGGAGGATGATCCAAAAGTATGGGTTTCCCAGGAAGATAATCGTGAAAACTGGCATGTTCAGGTTGTCTATTGACTTTTTTTTTGGATGCTGTTAAATCCATTTTCTTGTCAAAACTTAATGGTTCCCCTTCTGGCAGATTTTCCGGTCTATTGATTCAGGATCACTGAAGAGATTTCCCAAATCCATTGATGTTGCTGAAGCCCAGGTTGAAGCCCAGGTTGATTAAAGAACTATTCTGAATTTTCCCTGTTTGTTCTTCTTCATTGCATTGTGTTTATCATCATGTTTGGTTCATATTTCCCAAGCACTTCTCAGAGAGCCCTCTTCCTTTCATTATTTCTTTTATGATGTACATGCCACTATTTAATTATGTGGAATAAACAATTTATTCTTACAAAAGTTGGCATTGCTTCCAACTCACCATTTTTTTTAACACCAGTTCTAATTTACATATTAGTTAAACTACATTAGTACTTCATTATACTAAAGTATGCCATTTTTTTTTTATGATACGCTATACTGCAGAGCCTTATATGTTCAAACAAGTTGGTGATAGATAGGAGCATTCAGACAGCATACATTCAAGCAATCAGATCAGCTCAGCACTTCATATACATTGAAAATCAGTATTTTATTGGATCATCCTATGCCTGGCCATCATATGAAAATGCGGGTACATCTTTCATTACACTATTTGTGATCTCTGTTTGAAGCGATGGGAAGTAGCTTCTAAATTCAGTTGACTGAATCTTATCACTAGATCAGAGATCAAACATGTCCCATCCTTGTTTTTTTAATTAATATGCATATTAGTCTAGCGTTATACCATATATATGCTCATTCATTTGCTTTCAGTAAACTAAGTGCTATCACCATCTACTCAATGGAATTTACAGCTTTATTCATCATCAGCTCCTCTGTGTACTTTTTATGCATTACCTAAAAACAAAAAACAAAAAACTAGTTTAAAAAAATGACATCTCAAAGCTAGCTTCAAATAAGTAGGCCTTTTGAACTTTTTTAGCTGAAAAGGTAAATAAGTTGAAAGCCTAAAAAGTTTTACCAAACGCCCTAACTTTTCGAAGTACAACTGATTAAACATGGAATTTCAAAATTTAAGCTAAATAATCAGCAAATAAGTTTTTCAGAAACGGGGCTGTGTTCTATCCACTTGTTTATCAGTAACCAAGTCTATTAATCTATATTTTTTTGCTTAAATATTTTTCTGAAGATTACTACTTATTTTGCTTTATTTTATTTTTATGATTAGGAGTTGATAATCTAGTCCCCATGGAGTTGGCATTAAAAATTGCTAGTAAAATTAGAGCTAGAGAGAGATTTGCAGTGTATGTTGTCATACCAATGTGGCCTGAGGGTGATCCTACTTCTGCTGCTATGCAAGAAATTCTATTTTGGCAGGTAAGATGGTTTTCTATTTCATAAACTAGATAAACCAGAAATATTTTTAATTTCAGGAAACATTTTTTGCATTGTCGGATGCATATTAGATGATAGAAATAAGTTATTGATGACTGTTGGATTGTTTATTATTTCAATTCCTTCAATTGCTTTTAGTTCAATAATTTCCAGCAGTAAGATATTAAAAAATTTCTGACATAAATGGTTTAAAAAAAAGTTGCAAGAAGATTAAAACTTAATTATTCTTGATTCTTAAGAGTTTGCTTCTTGCAGAGTCAGACGATGAAAATGATGTATGGAGTTGTTGCACAGGAGCTTAAATCCATGCAGCTTTCTGACTCAAATCCTCTAGACTACCTAAATTTCTATTGCCTTGGCAATCGGGAACAAATGCTTGAGGAGAGGTCAACAGAAGGTACTCAGTCTCCTGCAAATGAGAATAAGGTAAAGAAAATCTATTTTTAACTAGAGTGCTTCTAATGCATCCCTTTGTCTCTCTCATACCCACCATAGTGAAAGAGCACAGTTCCCAATGTGCCCCACAATATGTTGAGAAGGGTGGGTGTGGAGGGAACTAAAGGGGTGCATTTGGAAGCACCCTTTTAACCGGTTCCAGTTTATTACAGTAATTGGAACTAAAAACAATTGATCCTTAACTTCTGTAGTTGAGGTGAGGACAATAATGTGGTGTCTTGATATGTGTTTAATCTTTTCACAAATGGTTATGCTTGGCAGTTTGTCATGTCCTTAATTTGAATTCAAAATAATAGAACTCAGCAATGCTCTAGCAAAAGAACTTGCAGCCACATACATGGTACATCTTTTGATTCTTTTATTATAATTGTTAGTCTGTCTCATTCTTAGTTTACGCTGCAACTCCAAGAGAAATATGAAGTGGAAGTGTCCTCGAGGGGGGTGATGGGACAACCTAATTTTTTTTACAAATTATTTCTGTTAGAATAGTCATATGTTATTATGTTATTATTTTATTAGTTGAGGGTACTATGGTCATATTGTAATATGTCTTCATAGAAATATGTACTGCTGGAGTAAGGTTGATTTTCACAACTCTAAACCAATTAGTCACACCATCTTCTCTTGTGCATTCTAACTTGGTATCAGAGCAGAGTTCCTGCCTTCTCGAGTGTTCATCAGAATCTAGAGATCATTGTGAGGTGACAACAATGTGCTGATGTCATCATCCGTACGATGACATCAGCGTGACACCATCATCCGTACGGACAAGTTGGGCTCTCAAGGATAGATTCTTCCTTTTGAGTTCAATGGTGATTTTTGTGGAATTTTTTAGAGCCATTTGATGTAAGTTTTGTATTTTTGAATGATTTTCGAATATTTTTGGTGAAAAATCGAAGCTGCTGCTTCTGCTCTACTTGTGCGATTTCTACCTAGTGGGCTCATCTCTATAGGGGCCAAAAATCATCCAGGAGGTGTTCCTTGAGGTTTGTTTTGAGATTTGGTATTGTTTTGTTGGATTTTTTATACTTTTTTGCCTGCTTCCTTGTTCGGCATCTCTAGGTTTGGTCCCAGACTTCTCTGTTTGGTATTTTCTGCTGTTATTTGGCTGCTTTGGCTGTGTTACTTTGGCTGTTTTCGGCTGTTTTCTGTTTGATTTGGTCACATACTTCTATTTTTGTTGTTTTCTGTTGTTATTTGGCTAATTTCTATTTGACTACTGTGTGTTTTCCATGACTGACATCAAACCTCCTGTGGTTAAAGATGATGAGTTGCCTAAGTCTATCACTACCAAGAAACTTAATGGCTTAAATTATCTGGCTTGGGCTTATGCTGTTAAAATCTTTTTGCGGGGTAAGAAAAAATCCCGTTTTCTTACTGACCTTTTGCCTGCTGTTGATGATAACACCTATGATGACTGGTGTAGTGAGGATTCTTGTGTTATGGGATGACTCTGGCATAGCTTGGAACCTCATGTTGCTACTACTGTGGAATTTTGTGACACCTCGAAGGAAATTTGGGACTCTCTTGTTGAGTCATTTTCGAATCAAATTAGTGTCTCCCGGGTCTATGAGTTATATGAGCAGGTTTTTGCTACTCAACAGTCTGGTCGTTCTCTTTTAGATTATTACAGTGGTCGTAAGAATTTGTGGGATCAGTTATTACAACACCGACCTTTTACTACTGATTTAGCACAACAAAAACGGAATTGGGAGGAGTTTATGATGGCCTCTTTACTTGTGGGCTTAGATTCTGATTTACGGGGTTTCAAAGATCAGATCCTTGCTAGTGAGACGTTACCTTCTGTTGCTAATGCCTATTCTCGGCTATTGTGTTCTTCTTTGGGACAGGGTTCTCCTTCATTTGGTTCTGCCTCTCAGACTTTGGCCTCTTCTGCATTGATCTCTAGTAGTAGCAACCGTGGGTATTCCAGTGGAAGTTTTCCAAGCCACTCTTCTAGTCACCGTGGCTCGTACACTGGTTTTCGTGGTTCCGGCGATGGTCGTTCTTCTCTTGGTTCTCATAGTGGTGGTGGGCGTGGAAATGGTTCTGCGTCCCGTGGTGATCGGAAGTGTACTCACTGTGATTCCTTGGGTCATTCTAAGCCTTGGTGTTGGCAGAAGTATGGTAAACCTGATCATGTGAATCAGGTTATGAATTCTCCATCCTCTCAGTCAACACAATTTCCCTCTGGCACAGTTGCTTCCCCATCTAATTTTCATGACGCACTCACTACTCAACTTAGCAAGCTTACTGAGCTCGTCCAATCTCTTCGTACTGCTATCCCTTCATCCTCCACAGCTACAATTGCTGGTTCAGGTAATCTTGCATGTGTGGCTCAATCTCCCCAATCTTGGCTCATAGACTCTGGTGCTAGTTCCAATATCTCCGGTAATTCATCTCTTTTCCATACTCTTCATCCTGTTACACATAATATTATTCTAGCTGATGGATCCTCTCGACCTGTTAGTGGCAAGGGTATTCTTCAGCCCACTCCATCTCTCTCCTTACCCTCTAGTCTTTATGTTCCTACTTTTCCATTTAATTTACTTTCTGTTAGTCAATTGACTAAAGCGTTTCACTGTTCCATAACCTTTTCTCCCACTTTTGTGTTTTGCAAGACCTTTAGACCAAGAGGATGATTGGTTCGGGGCATGAGAAGGATGGCTTATATTTTCTGGACACTGATAGCCCGTCTCGTTCTACTTCTGCTGTTTTGAGTGCTACCGTGTCTCTTCTGCAATGGCATTTTCGCTTGGGTCATCCGTCTTTAACCAAGCTTAAGTTAGCCATTCCTGGCTTAAGTCATGTGTCTAAACTTTAGTGTGATGCTTGTCAGCTTGGCAAGCACCACCGTAGTTCCTTTTATAGTTGTGGTGTTAGTCATGTGTCCGCGTCTTTTGATGTAGTCCACACAGACATATGGGGTCCATCTCGGACTCCCACTGTTAATGGATTTCTTTATTTTGTTTTTTTTTTTGTGGATGATTACTCTCGGATGACTTGGTTATTTTTAATAAAGTAGCAGTCTGAATTACCCCAAATAATTTCTAAGTTTTATAATGAAATCTTTACTCAGTTTGGGAAACGTATTAAAATATTCCGGTCTGATAATGCCTTAAAATATATGCCGTCTACTGTGGATCTTTTTTGTGCTAATCGTGGTATTATTCATCAGACTAGTTGTGTTCACACATCCCCCCAAAATGGTGTTGCTAAGCGGAAACACTGCCATTTGTTAGATGTTGCTCGCACATTGTTGTTTCACATGCACGTTCTCAAACAGTTTTGGGGTGATGTTGTGCTCACTGCTTGCTCTCTTATTAACCGTATGCCCTCAATTGTGTTACAAAACCAGTCTTCCTTCTCCCAGTTGTACCCTGATTGTCCCCGTTTCCTCTTTCTCCTCGTATTTTTGGTTGTGTGGCTTTTGTCCATGTCCTTAATCCGGGCCTAGATAAGTTATCTCCTCGTGCTCATAAGTGTGTGTTTTTTAGGTCATTCTCGTACTCAAAAAGGTTATCGGTGTTATCACCCTGAGTCTCGTCGGTTCTTTGTCAAGGCTGATGTTACCTTTTTTGAGTCCATCTTTTTTTTTTCTTCGTTTAGGCAGCAGTTGTCAGCCGATCTTATATCTTGTCGTAAGGGGGAGCCAGCTTCTCAAACACCTACTTTTCCCATGCCTTGTGTCTCCTCCTCCTTTGTTTCACCCTCCACCAATGTAGATCCCCTTTCTTCACCTCCATCTCCTCTCCAAGTTTATCAACGGTCCCAAAATCGTTGCCTTGTTTCTTATGGCGCGAACAGTTCATCTTCTTTGTCAGAGGCTCTTAGCCCTCCTATTGTTCTGGACATTGATGATCTTCCCATTGCTTTGCGCCGAGGTAAACGTGCTTGCACCCAACATCCTATTGCTCATTTTGTTTCTTACGATCGTCTTTCCACTAGTCTTTACTCCTTTGCTTGTAGCTTGTCTTGTGTTTCCATTCCCTCTTCTTATAAGCAGGCTATGTCCATGTCAGGTTGGAAGCATGCTATGGATGAGGAAATGAGTGCTCTTCATCAGAATCAGACTTGGGACCTTACTCCATTGCCTTCTGAGAAACCTAGTGTCGGTTGTCGTTGGATTTATACTATCAAGTATCTTCATGATGATACTGTTGAGTGGCTTAAGGCCTCCTTGGTGGCCACAAGCTATACACAAACTTATGGTGTTGATTATTTGGAGACCTTCTCCGCTATGGCTCGCCTCAACTTTGTTCGGATTCTCCTCTCTGTTGCCATTAGTCAGTCTTGGCCTTTATATTAGCTTAATATAAAGAAATTCTTCATGGCGATCTCCAAGAGGAGGTTAGTATGGATCAGCCACTTGGCTATGTTGTTCCCAGCAGTGAGCATATGGTTTGTCGATTGCAGAAGGCCTTGTATGGTCTCAAGCAATCTCCACATGCTTGGTTTGATCGCTTCAGTGCAGTTGTGCTTTCATATAGGTTTCGCCGTTCCACTTCTAATCATTCTGTTTTTGTTCACCACTCGTCTATTGGGAGTATTGTTCTCCTTGTCTATGTGGATGACATCATCATTTCTGGCAGTGACTCCACTGGTATTGTTGATTTAAAACGGTCTTTAGGTCAACACTTTCACACTAAGGACATGGGTCATCTTCACTATTTTCTTGGGATTGAGGTTGCTCGGTCTTCTCGGGGGTTATTTCTTTTGCAACGCAAGTACTTGCTTGATCTTCTCTCTAAGACTGGCCTCCTGGGTACTCGCCCGAGTGATACTCCCATGGACTCCTGTGTTAAACTGGATGGTGATACTGGGGACTTATTTCCTGATATTGGCCGTTATCGTCGTTTTGTTAGGAAATTGATTTATCTCACTGTCACTCGTCCTGATATTACATATGCTGTCAGTGTGGTTAGTTTATGCATGCTCCTCGTCACCATCATTTTGAAGCTGTTTGTCGTATCTCGCGTTATCTGAAGCGTGCCCCAAGTCGTGGTCTACTCTATCGTCCATTTTCTTCCTTGTATGTCACTGGTTTTAGTGATGTTGATTGGGCTGGCAGTCGGACTGATCACCATTCTACCACCAGCTATTGCACCTTCGTTGGCGGTAATCTTGTTACTTGGCGTAGCAAAAAGCAGACAGTTGTTACTCATTCAAGTGCTGAGGCTGAGTACTGTGCCATGACTCATACTGCTTCTGAGATGTTGTGGGTTCACTCTCTTCTACAGAATTTTGGTATTCTTGTTCCCACTCCTATGAGTATGTGTTGTGATAATCAGAATGCTATCTTTATTACCAATAATCCAGTATTTCATGAACGTACAAATCATATTGAAGTTGATTGTCATTTTATTCGCGACCTTTTACTGAGAAAGCAACTTGTGACTCCTTATGTTCGTTCTGAAGATCAATTGGGTAATATCCTCACCAAACCCTTGGCTCAGTCTTCCTTTTATCGCTTATCTACTACACTGGGCATGTTTGATCTCTATGCTCCAGCTTGGGGGGGAGTGTTAGAATAGTCATATGTTATTATGTTATTATTTTATTAGTTGAGGGTACTATTGTCATATTGTAATATGTCTCCATAGAAATATATACTGCTAGAGTAGGGTTGATTTTCATAACTCTAAACCAATTAGTCACACCATCTTCTCCTCTCTCTCTCTCTTTCTCTAACCCTAACCCTAATATTCAACTCTTATGCATTCTAACTATTTCATTCCTTTTCCCTAATTCATCTCAATTGTCTTATAACGAGCCTCTTTCAAATTATACATATGCTTAAGTCAACTTTTATAATTTAATTTCTTGATGTATCCTAAGTTTTAGTTGGGTACACCGATTGGTTATTTAGTTAAATTTTGTGAACGCAACTAAGGTCAAGTGCTACATATGGATATGTTCCAATTTCATTTCTTGACCACCTACGGCTCAATTATGACTTACAAACACAAATAAATACTTGAAAACATTCCAAAAATTCACTCCTTGATGCCTTAAATGTGCTCCCTGTGAAATTTCATATCTACCATTTTTCTTTTAATGCTTGTCATCAATGAACATCATTCATTCCCATAACCAGTCATACTCTATCCCTGGTACACTAGCTCTGATATCATGTTGAACGGTTTTGCGTAGAATTCAACTCCAAAAGCTAGCTATTGAGATGAGTGTGTCCTCACATTTATAGATTGCACATTACTTTTGTATTAAGACAATGTGGGACTTTGCTTCACAATACTCTGACCTTGTTTCTTGGGATTTGAGTGGTCAATAGTTTAATTATGTATGCCCCCATTGTTTCCATGGCTTACATAGTTGAAATATTTAAATTATATAGGTGTAAGAGGGCATGTATGTCCCCCTTTTTCTTAGCTACAACTATTGTTAGTCTGTTATTGAAACCTTTATTTCTCTAAAAATATTTTACAAATTCTTTGGATGTAACTGTCAGATTCTCATTCTGTTACTCACTTGCAAGTTTTTCTCATATCAATCATTTAGTTTTGTTCTATCATGTCTTGTTTGTGCTCTCAAGATTGTTGTAATGATCAGAGTATGCGTATTATTATATAACTTTTGTGATCATAGTTTTCGACAAAAATAATAGTTTTCCTCTCCAAAATGACTTTGGAGTATACTATGGTAGAAATTTGTAATCAGTCAGTCTAAACCCAAAATATTTTATCAGGTTTTAGATGTAGAGAAGTTTCGGCGGTTTATGGTTTATGTGCATGCTAAAGGAATGATAGTGGATGACGAGTATACAATAATAGGATCTGCTAATATTAACCAAAGATCTTTGGATGGTACAAGAGACACTGAGATAGCCATGGGTGCATATCAACCCGATTACACTTGGGCTAAGAAGAAGAAATACCCTCATGGGCAGGTTCGATTACTTGTTCTCATCTGGGATATCTTCTATTTTTCAGCAAACATGTGATTTTACACTACTTTATGTGCTGTTGCCTAGTGGGAAATTTTTTATAGTATATCAATATGTTTTGAGAAATGCAAAGTGGCCTATAGTAGATGATGTTTGATTTTCGCAAACCAATATATATTTTTTTCCGTCTTTGTATTGTGGCAAGAAGAAATTCTCATGGATATTTATAAAGCCCAAATGCACTCATTGTTAGAGCTAAGATTTGTGACATACCTGAGCTCATTTCTTGCTGGACCTTAGAACTTGATAACTACATTAGAAACATGATCCTGAACAGTTTTCATATTTTAACTTGCCATCATTTGCGAAGAGCACACATTTCAAAGCTGTATCAAATAGTATGACACAAACTCTCAAAAAAAAATATATATATATATTTTTAAATATTTAAGCATACCATATAAGCTTGCACCAAACATCCCCAATGGTTCCAAGTTCCAACCATCACTCAAAGTAAAAATACTCATTTCCTGGCATCATTAAAACTTTCTTACATCAATTCTGTTGGAAGTTCACTTGGTAATGTAGTCGACATGAACAACGTTATCCATGCAGATATATGGACACAGAATGTCACTCTGGGCAGAGCACCTTGGGACCATAGAAGAATGCTTTAAGGAGCCAGAGAGTTTGGAATGTGTGAAGAGAGTGAATCACGTCGCTGAAGATAACTGGAAGAAATACACAGATAGTAATTTTACACCATTGCAAGGCCATCTTCTCAAGTATCCCGTGCACGTAGATGACGATGGGACGGTAGGTTCCTTGCCTGGACACGAAAGTTTCCCAGATGTTGGAGGTAAAGTTCTTGGAGCTTATTCATCTGCTATTCTTAATCCTCTGACAACATGACTTCCACTTATGAACGGGACTAATAGAGCAAAATAAAAAGATATAGAGGATTGAAGGTTCAAAAATGATGCTTTGCCACCTTGCCTGCCCTTTTAGGTTTAATGAATAGGAGCTTTTTGTTTTATTTCCTTTTTCCTCTTTTCTTTGGAGGGCATGTTACTCTATAAATGTATGATGTTACAGAAATGTGCAAAAATTTCATTTTGTATGTTTATTTAATAGATTTCTATGGATAAGGGTGCTATGAACTGTAGTTTGGACATTACTGTAGTTTAATTAAATTTAACTCCTTTGGCTTTTGCCAGAGCCAATATTATCTCAGGGGAAAAATGAGAAAGGGGAACATAAGAACAGGAAAAAGTGCGTAAGTTCATTTGCATTGGCGAAACTTATTCGTTTGGGAAGTGGGTTGATTTTTTAATTTTTTTTTGCTATTTTAGCCTAGGATAAAAAGTTCGTTTGGGTTAGTTTTTTTGACTTTTGTAAGAAAAAAAATAAAATGATTATAATTTGGATGAAAAAAAATTTTTTATTAATTTTTTAACCTATTTTATATTTTTGTGACTAAAAAGGCGCCAATCTCATTTTGGCCCATTGCCAAATGATTGCTTAAATGCTTTGTTATGGCCTAATCTGGTTTTCAACCAATGTGGTTTTGATTTCCGAACTCCTATTTTTGTCATTTATGAAAAAAATTCTTTTTGCAATATTATAATATTAATTTGGAATTTCATTTTAGGGCTGTTTATCTGACATGTTCCTAATTCCCATAATCCAAAATTGTGATTTAACTTTAATTTGTTATTTATGTAGTAATGTCCTATATTGTTTCCTATTAGGATTAAGATTTATTTATATATTATTTTTTGGCACTCGCAAACCTAGTCTAGTCTTTAGGGTTATGCAAAATACCGCCTAATCCGCTAAAATCACACCGATCCGCATCAATCCGCACCGCTCTAACCGCTAATCGCAGTTTAAATTTTAAAATTTATAATCCGTCAACCGAACCGCTTCGTTCCGCTCCGCTATAGTTAATACATATATATTTTTTAATTTTTAATGAAATATCAATGTAAAAATGAGTGTGAGAGAGATTTAAAATATGAAATTTATTACAAATTAGTGGTTATATATATAAAATATATTATGTAAAATTACTTTGTGTAAAATACCGCCTAATCCGCTAAAATCACACCGATCCGCATCAATCCGCACCGCTCTAACCGCTAATCGCAGTTTAAATTTTAAAATTTATAATCCGTCAACCGAACCACTTCGTTCCGCTCCGCTGTAGTTAATACATATATATTTTTTAATTTTTAATGAAATATCAATGTAAAAATAAGTGTGAGAGAGATTTAAAATATGAAATTTATTACAAATTAGTGGTTATATATATATAACATATTATGTAAAATTACTTTGTGTTATATATTTAAAAAATATTATACAAATTAGTATTATATATTATGCAAATGTATGATAATTAGTTAAAATATTTTTCAATCCGCCAATCCGTCAAAAATCGGCCAAATCGTAATTTGTCAATCCGTTAATTCGTCATTCGGTTTGTAATTTTATTTTTAAACCACCTGAATCGCACCGCGCACACCCCTACTAGTCTTATCTAAGGAGATTGGAAGGCGAAGAAATGAGGTCAAACCCCTAATATTCACTATCTAACAAGGAATATATTATGGCCTTTTTAGGAAAGAGGTTAAAAGTCATTTTTTAGAGCAGGTTTGGCAAGTCTCAAAAATTCAAAAAGCCAAAAGTTACACAAAAAACAAAAAAGTCATTACTATTCACATACATTTTTGTAATACAAAAGTTTGAATTACACTGTCAGCCATACTGCCCCAACAGGAAGGCAGGTCATACACTTTTTGGGCAAAAAAAAAAAATACATATGTAAAGCCACAAAGTTTGATGGTAATGTTGGGCCCTTGAGGGCCCACTAAGGGTTCTGTTTTGATAATCCGAACCGTTCAGTATGTAGAACTCGCCGAATACTATATGCCTGTAAAAAATCACGTTGATCGGATATCGTTAACTATATGATCAAATTAGTTTTATATAATAAAAAAACGGATGGTGTGAGAGTTAATTGTTGAAAAAAAACTAATCCGATCATATAGCTATCGATATCCGACCAACGTGATTTTTACAGGTATATAATACTCAACGAGTTGTACATATTGAACGGTTCAGATTATTAAAATGGGACCCGTGATGGCCCCCACGGACCGACCATCACTGTCCAAACACTTTGCCCTGAAGGAGGCAATAATTTGTTGTAAGACATGCTACCCCAGCAGAGCAGCCGTACAACCTACTCAACTTTCTTCCCCCATACACTTTATTTATACAATTTTTTATTACACATTTTTTCGTAAAAAGACAAAAAATTAACCCAAACATCTATCTTTTTTTCTCAACTTTTTAGTTCAAAAAGACAAAAAGTGTACTTATTTAGGACACCCTCAACTTTTTTTTCTCATCTTTTTTTGGTTTTTTTAAAAAAGCCAAAAAAAGTTTTAAAAAAAATTAGTTTTTAACCTACTTCTCTAAACAACATGTATCTTTCTATTGTGGCACAAGATTTGTTGTTCTCAAATCTTTATATTCTCCTCTCTTAATGTATTTTTAATTATTAAATTATATATTAAAATATATGCATCTTTAAATTTTCATATGATTTAATGATCGAGAATCATAGGATATAAGGATTTGGGAATAATTGATGTTTGATAGACATGAAATTTATGGTTTCGGTGCAATCCAATGGCTTTTAATTGGGCGAATCACTATTAATGTTAATTTTGGGTTTTAAAAGAAATGGGCACTTATCAGTAAGTCTTATACACAAAGTTTAAAATTTATTTAGTCTTAAAATAAAATATTTGTACCAATTAGTCCTTTATTGTTTTAATTGTTATTAACAAATCTTATATATTATCTTTTAAATTTAAAAACGATGCTACATCCCACTACTACTGGACTTCCATCAGACGGTCACCGGAGACTCACTAGAATGTTTAACATCACCGGGAAGTTCATCGAAGTGTTCCAAACATCGCTGGAAGTCGCCGGAATGTCTAGAATATTCATTGGACGTCAAGAATATCATCGGAGATTCACTGGAATATCGATAATATTGCCCAAAAAAAAAAAAGAATAAATAGAGAAAGTGGAGCGGAAAAACATAACAAAATGTGCTAAATATTGATAAACTGAAAAGGAAAAAATAAAAAAGCAATAACAACAAACAAAAACAACGGAAAAATATATATATATTATTTTTCAATTTTTGTAGATTTTAAACAAATAATCTTAAATATTGATCAAACTGAAAAGTAAGATTTGGAACTATAAAATGTTACAATTTCAAAATATAATTTTATTGAGCATTTATCCTTATTAATCAAACTAAAAACATTTTATGAAATTGTAAAATTTTACAGTTCTAAAACATGTTATGAAACTGTGAAATTTTACAGTTCTAAAACATGCTATGAAATTGTAAAATTTTATAAGTATGATTAATTTCATCACAAAAAAAAAATAAAATTAAAAATAAAACTCGAAAACAACTTGTTCATAACTTGAAAATTTTATCCATTAAAATAGGAAAATATAAGTGTGTAACAGAGAAAATGTAAAAAATTTGAGAAATCGAAGGAGAGAAATAGATATAAAGAGAATATTGTACTCCGGCAACTATTTTTAGTTTAGATCTAGTCGGATATAATGTAGATCTACTCATCTTCTTAGCAGAAAACTTGTCTCATTCACCATCAGTGAAGATGGAGTAAGGAGTCGGTGGTTGATGCTTGCTAGTGAACCCCAATCAATAGTGGTTGTCACTCGCCAGTGACTATATATCCGAAAGAGAAAAAAAAAGTAAAATGTGGTTGCCAGTGGCCATAAACAGGAAGAGAAAGAGGTAGAGAATAACGAATGCGCAGATAAGAACAAAGTAAAAAAATGTGTAGTGGACTTTTGAGAGTATTCAAAAGTTAGTAGGCTAAATAAATTTCTTCTATTTCAAATAAGACTTCCGAGTAATTTGTCCTAATAACAAAAATTTGTCTATGCACTTTTAAACTATACCAAATTAAACTAATTGCATCTTAAATAGGGTACACTACATAAATATCGACTTCTAAATTATAATATTAAGATATTTATAGGTAAATTACACTGACCTCCCCTGAGGTTTACCTTAATTACAGGGACCTCCCCTGTAATTTCAAAAATAGCACAGGCTTCCCTTACTTTTGAAACTAATATACAAATACCCCCTTCTCGTTAAAAGAGCCTTAACGATGTTAGCTTGACAGTAGAATTAACCATAATACCCCTCTCATTCATTCATAAGCACATACATATCTTATATATATATATATATATATCACTGTACCCCTTCTATCTCTCTGTCCTTTCACTCTCTGTGTGTGCTCTCTCTCTCTCTCTTTTGCGATCGTTGCTGCCTCTCTCTCTCTGTGCCTCTCGATCTCTCTCTATCTCTCTCTGCATGCGCAGGTTAGCGATTTGAATTGAGAGTGGTCCAGCGAGCTGGAGCTAAGGGAGACGAAGCTCGCTAACTCGACTGTTGTATATGTATATAGGTATGTGTCTCATGATCCCTGGAATCAACTCTGACCGCATCTCTCTTTCTCTCTCTATATATATGTATATATATGTATGTACGTGTATATATATATATATGAGGGTTTAATCGACGATTTTGGTTTACAAAGATGAAGTTAGAAACAGCGGTGGTGGCGATTTAATGAATTTGTGATCTATTATGTATATATGTATGCATATATATATATATATATAGAGGGTCTTCTTGGCTAAGTGTGAGACTCTAGAGTAGAGAGCTTTAGTGAAGTAAATGCTTGGCCATCAGATCCCTAATGCAGATCTTCAAATCCTAATGGAAGCTATTGGTGTTGATGGATATGGAAAAAGATTAGAGAGAAACAAGGCGGTTGTGGGTAGTGATGAAGAGAGGGTCGTCGTTGCAACTGCATGAATTAAAGGAGACAAGTTTCAGAGTGTAGATGATGTAAGTGATGGAGACGAAGATGATGGGCCAAGTCATGAACTTGGGCATGGTTCGATTTGATAAACCCATAACAGTAATGAGTGTCATTGATGATGGGTTTCTCATCTGATCCCAAACCACCTTCTCTGAATCTCTCTGGGTTACCTTCATGGTGTGAAGAAGACGAAGAACAACAACAACAACTACAAACAACAACAACAACTACAAACAACGAATCGAGTTATGGGTTTTGGGAGAGTTCACCAGATCTGCGTAATGGGGGTT